AGCAAAAAAACGAAAGAACTAAAAACCCAGCATGAGAAGGATACTTTTACAGAGAGCTCATGCTGAGGAAATTGGTGAATTTATGATGTCACATGAAAGAAAACACTTTTGAAACAGGCAAAATGGGCACTGATGAGTCAGAAAGAGAAAATTGAAAAACAATGTTTTAGCAGCATGTTGGACAGAAATTTACATCACTGACTTGTAGGTGTCAGAAGTGCCCATGGTTCACCTCTAGGCTCCTATGGGTTCCCTTCAAATGGTTCAGTTGTTCAACTGTATGCTGCCATGCACTTTCCCTCTGAGGAACCAAACTTCCCTTAAACTCAGACAGAGGTATGTGCCATTTAAGAACACAGCAGGACTAAAATTGCGGACATCATCAAATGGAATTAACTTCCTCTCAACAACAGAATACTTTCAAAAAAACCCAAGAGAATAGGGATCGAGCAAATGTACAGTTGGAATAAAAGTCTGGAGAGGAGACAATGGGGTGGGAAGCAGGAGAGTTATTAGACTTTGCATGTCCCAATATCTCTGGTTAGAGACCACAGAAACAAATATACCTTCATGAACAAAGTACGAACAGACTGCTCTTAATTCAAATATAGCACTCATACAAAGCAATGAAACCAAGCCCAGGTTGCTTTAGGGAGAAACTGGAGGGAAAATGATCACCAACATCTCAAGAATCTAAAAGAGATGAGCTAATAAGATAATAGAAAACATCAGTAAAGACCCAAATCAAAAACCTACACCATCATGTCGATAATTTAATCTATTCAAACCCTTAGACTGTTAGCTAGAAAGTCTGGATTTGTGGATAAGTAAGCCATGAGGTATAGGGTCTCCAGTTTGCACCAGGCACTGAGTGACATTTTAAATGAAAAATTGCAGAAGCAGAGTCAAAGCTACGAGATCTTGGATCCAAGGGAACCATCCACGTCAGATTCACGTTAGCTGGGAGATGCTACTGCCTTGTGAAGCACTTCCAAAAGAGAGGAGGAGCATGAGCTTTCTTGACCAGATGAATTGAAAGCCATCTTGTAACAATTCTGGATTAAAAAAAACTTTCTATCTCTGTGATAGAGAGATAAATTTGAGGATCAGGCATAGGAAAGGGTACTCAAGATATCCTTGTTATGATATCTGATATTTCCTTGTTATGAAGGACTAAGCTTATTCACTGAAATAGGCAGGGATGTTATTTTGGGTGAAATTTCTGTTGCAGGATCTGCTGATGCTGCAAGTGATGTAATGGTATCTGTTAGCAGTCTAGAGGAATCATAAACTTCTGTGGCCATTTGTACAAAATCTAAGAAAGAGACTTGGCCATTCCCACAATTTACATCTACATAATTTAATATCCTCCTCATTTTGGTTTCCCGTACCCTGTCCAGGTGAAACTGGCTGCTTGCCAGTAATATAGATGATGCAACTCTGGCTCTGTTTCATACTACCAGCCTCAGTTTCTCAGAGCCTGTTTGGATTCCCTGCTTACAAAGCAGCAGTCTGAAGTAGGAACTTTATCAGGCTCACATTTATTGTATCTAATTTTCTAATTTTCTAATCTTTCTTTTTCTTTTTTTTTTTTTAACTCAGCAATACTTCACCAAACCAATGCTGCTCAGTATTTTCTGAGACATAATATATCATTTTTCCCTTTGTTTTGAAACAAACGATCAAACAAAAACGAAGCAGAAGTATGACTACTGTTTCCTTAGAAAATTTAAGAGGACTACACTAAAAATTCAATGGTGGATCAAGCACTTTGTTGTATCCAATGCCAGGTCTCCACTTACTGATGGTTCAGATACTCTCTTTTTGGGATATCATCACACTTGAGTACAGTCATTCCCTCTATCCTTTTGAAATATGAAGTCTCTTCTTTCCCTGCATATGCTGGCTGTTGATTTCATAAGCTTGAGGGAAAAAAGCTTTTTAAATGCTGTAGTATGCATATTATATGCATAAGGGAGAACATTCTTTGCTGTATAAAATGCTTTTTGTCTGTAGTGAGAATATAACTAAGCCAATGTTGATCTGCTTTGTGTCTCCAACGTAGCAACGATGAGTGAATGAGAGAAAAATTGAGTCACTTACAAAAATGAATTTGTGACAGTAAACTACGCAGTCAGGCCATATTCCTTTCAAAGACAGAACACATTACAAAGCAACACACAACCTTATGCAAAACATCCTCCCTCTTTCACAAGCAGGAATATTACTTGGGTATTAATCTTATAAATGGGATGCTAAACACAGGATGCATACGGAAATCATGAGAAGGGATGGTACTATTCATCTGTCACTACACATTAAAGGGAAAAAAATAAAAATTGGATATATGAGTAATGAGAAGGTATGCCTTGCTTCAACAGTGTCACATCTTAAATATTTTAGAATCATAGCAGGATTCTCAAAGAGCTAGAATTCTGTTTTATATTCAGATTATCTCACACGTCTAAATCATACAGTCAGTTTTTATTCATTCTTTGTAGGAGATATGTGTGAACCAGCTATCCCCAGTTTCTCTTACAGTCAGTCAAGCAGAATATGTACTTTTAGGGTACAGCTGACTTATTCGAAACATCTACACTGAAATGACATGAATTATATCCTAGAAAGGCCTATTTATCTTCTGTGACCATTAAAGGAGATGTGATGACTAGCACAGACACCATTACCTATATTATAGGTGTATACTTGGTCACACAAATGCACTTCCTTTCTCTACAGATTTGTGAAACCACAGATAGTCATCCTACAACCGTTCTCCTGTTTCTGTTAAGCTATGACTCAGTCACACCTGAGGTAGTGAAGCTTTGTCTCATACACCACACTTTTTCACTTTTTATTTTGAATCATTCAAACAAATGGACCTCTGCTTTCTATTTATTGAAACTATTTCCGAGGCTAACAAACTAGCAGTGAAACATATTCCTTATTCATTATGTACAGAAATGTTTAATGGTAAAGTTAAATTTTCATTTGTTCTGTCTCGGCCCATTAAGCTTCATCACTCCGTGGTGCTTCCAATCAGTTCCTCTAGACTGAGTCATTGTTTTGCCATGAACAAACCATGCTCTGTTTCTCTTCACTGCATAGCTAAAGAAACAAACAAATGAAGAAAATCCAACCAATGTTCACTCCCATCAACAGAAGACTCAGGAATAAGTTACTGCATTTGGACCACATATTTTGTGTCAACTGGGCTACTATAACTACCTGCATCTCTGTGTTCAGCCTGAAAAAGGGCAAGAAAGTATAAATATACACATAAATTTTGAGGATTGAGCTCAGTACATTACATCTCATCTTTCATGACGTTGTATATAAAATAACCATAGCACAGTTAATGTAGCAGAACTTGTTAAACCAACATGTCGATCAACTTATTTTGAGCATGAGTCTGTGTTCTCAGAAGAAATTCTCTTGAGAGAGGGAAATTATCCTCACGGGCCTGAGTATGTTTTGCTTCAGGTTTTTTTTTTTTTTTTTGCTACTGTCCAGCACTCATTGCTGAAATATCTATTTTGGTGTCTATTATTACTCAGGCTTGCTCAACATACTGGATTTCACACTCCACTTCTCTCTGAAGATTGGTGTTCTGAATTGTTTTCCTCTTGAGGTGGATTAGGTTTCATTTTTCAAAACAAAATGTCATCTTTTGGTGTGCTACTAACCCTCCTAATTCCCTTCATGCTCTTTATTGCCATGTAATGCTCCCTAGTTTGTCATAATTTTCAAGGAAAAAATGCAGTTTACTCTTTTTTTTTTTTCTTTTTTTTCTTCAGATTCTTAATATCTGTTAAATAAAACCAGACTGAACAGCAACTTCTACAGCACCTTTGCAATGATTAACTTTCTCTACGTCTACATACTTTCATAACACCACTGGCTTTTACTCATCAGTATTAATTAGGTTTTCTTTCAAAGAAATGTTAGATTCTGTCATCTATTAATCATTCCTTTACACATAGCTGTTAAAAATACTTTACCAAGTATGTGAATCTGCAGATATTTGTCATCTAATGTTTATTATTTCTGCTTTGTGATAAAATATTACCAGATTCCTTGTTCTAAGGCTCTGTTGGTTTTTAAAACATTTGGCACATAAAAATACTAGAGCTTCACTTTCCAAACTCTACTAATTAGAATGAAAGTAACAGACATTTCAGTGTAGATTCCCTCCTTCTTTTTCTTTTTCTTTTGAAGCATAGAGTAACATACATTCAGTGACATGAAAGACTTGAGAGAAATAAAGATCTTTAATTAAAGAAATTAAGTCTTACTATTAAATTAAGTGCTCATAACAAGCCAGCATAAAAATGTTTGGCTAATCTGTTAAAAGCTGCTACTTATCACTGATGAGGTGTTCAAATTTCTGTCATTATTGCTTTCTTATAGATAAGTATTGACTCTGCCTTTCTAATTGTGTGTATTCATGTTTACTGTGTCAGGTTAATCCCAGAAACGAAGTTGCTAGAAGCTACTTTTTAAAGGAGAGAAAAATATGCTTTGTTTGATCTTTGTTGTTCAGAAAGAAACAAAACAATTGCTATACAGTAATTTTACAAGGAAAAAAGGCACAAAATGGCTTATACAGACTAATAATCTTGTAAATGGCTGAAAGACTGCTCCAATTTTGATCTACCTTAATTATGCAATGTAAGAAAATACATACAAAGCTTGCAGCACTGGGTTGGGGTGATAAAAGTTTGCTGCACACGACACATAATATTGAAGGGTGAAAGGTCCTGAAATACTCTAGTTTTACCCTTATACAGAGTAGGGATTATTGACACTCAAAACACAAACATTTTGCCTAGAATACTTAATTGCAGACATACTTATTCAGTACCAATAGTGTTACCTCCCACAACATGGAAATTAATTTCCCATTTAGAACACAAGGATGTAGTGAATATGTATGGATGTCTTATGGTTTAGAACCTTTTACACACATTTTTGCAATTGTACACACTTTCCAAACTTACCTCCTCTATGGATAATCAAAGAAGTTTCACTTCCAACAGGACATTCCTTAAGTATATCCACTACTTCTGCATGGCTCAGGTTCTGTACATTCTGCTGGTTGATCTCAACAATGAGGTCACCTTCACACAAACCAGGACATCCCTGAATGTCTAGAATTTGCTTCACCCTCTGTCCTGTAGGACTGTCTGCTATAGTGAAGCCAAAGCCCTGGGCCCCTTTCACAATGGTTAAGGTCATAAGTTCAGCTTGGGTGGCCCCAGAAGAAGCCATTGATACATTATCATCATGGGCAGGTGGTGGGAATGTGCTATCAAGCTGACTATCTGCTGGAATGGAGTGCAAGGAGTGTGGTGGTCGATCTGTTACGTCTGGAACAGACTGAGAAGTCCTAGAAATGTATTCCAAATAAGTTTCATAGTTATGTCTTCCATTTACCACTACCGGAGGCCTCTCCATTACTGCAAGGGGTGGCACCATGCTGTTGGCAGGATCTTCAGGATCAAAGGGCAAAGGGTATCCACGACATAGCACCAAGTTGACACTCTGACCAATAGGAACAGACTGGAAGAGTTTGACTACATCTGCGTGAGTATGTCCAAGGACACAAACTTCATTAATATAGACAATCACATCACCTAGAAAGAGAAGAAGAGAGCAACAATAAGAGAAAACTTTAGTAACTGTACGCTGTACAATTTTTTTTTAATGAGATAGATCTCTATTAAAAAAATACAATAGATTAGACCAACATGTTGACTCAAACAGAGGAGACAAAAAATTAGTTTGTCTACCAACAAATGTAATACAGGTAGACAACGGTAGTACTATTTCTGTTCCGTGGTAGCTCACAGCTGGAGAATTAAGCTAGATTCAGGAGTATACCTTTTCTTAACATTTCTTTCCTATTTTTCTACTCCTTTCAGTGTACTCCACAGATGACTTTTTTTTAAGATACAGTGGTAGCTTATTTGGAGGGCTTGTTATTAAGAAATGCTATTGTTTGTTGAAGAATAAAAGAAGAAAGGAAATAGTACGTACTTGTGGACATGAGAATCAATGAACAGAGATGGAAGGCTCAGCTAACGTGATTGAAGAAGTACCTTTTTTATTGGACATGATATTGACAGTTTTCTATTAAATGTTGTTGCTATCAAACATCCAGAACTACTACAGTCACTTTCAATTCTAGGCAGGAACTAAACTGAGCCTCGCATATTGAAGAAAAGTTCAGTGGTATTTTTCTGTAGCTGCGATGGTTCAAGCATGATGACAGGACAAATTTGGTATGTAGGTAGAATAGCTTTTTATTAGACAGACTGTTATAGTTGAAGGAATCTAGACAAACACCAGAAAGACAGTTTAAGATTTCCAAATTTCCAACTAAATCAGCTTGTCAAATGAAAATAAAGGTGTTACTTTTATGTTCAGAATCTTGTACAGAACTAGCAGTCAGAACATTATGCATGAAAGCAGAATGCTTCAAATCAACAGGCTATTTGTGGGCTATTTGCTCCTCCACCAATCATATTTTTTTAAGGAAATTTCAGAAAGAGATTTGCTTTCCTTCTTATTGTTAGAATGGATACATGTATTAATATTCATAAATAATTTTAAGGTAATGTTACAGTATGCATTAAAATAAAAATAAGTGATTTGTAAAAACAATATTCAGAATAGTTTGTTGACCACAGCTGGCTTGCACTTTAGTGAAACAACAATAGGTAGGTTTGGTTAGAGAACTCTGCAAGTTGAACTATTTTTTTTTTAAATCCTGTTATTACCCTACCATTAATTAGGAAGAAAAAATCATTTATACAGACAACATGATGAGGTGTCTACAAGGTATGCAGTTCAATAATTGACTTTTCACAACGTATTGCTTTATAATGATATTTCAAAACTCAGCAATAAAATGAGAATTATTTGGGGAGGAAGAGGCAGCTTGTGTGGAATTGCTTTGAGTATATTTGTGAAATTACATCTTTCAAGTGCTTAAATCAAAAGATCTAATCAAGCAAACTGAGGAAAAAAGAGCATCATCAAGATGCCAGTGCAGGAAAAGGCAAAGATTGTTTATACGTGAAAATGAAATGGTCAATTCCCACACAGTCAGGCTATCCAACAGCTGACAGTAATTAATTGCTTATGCACAAACTGTGATTTGTTGAAAGATTTCTTCAGAGAGTGTTCAGGGAAAAAATGTGAACAGAATTTGTTAAAGTACTTGTGAATAATATTCACAAATAATAGGAGCCACAAATACAGTCTTAAATGCGTCATAAATAGATTTCAAGCTATAAACAAAAGCAGTATGTTCATCTCATAGGTAGTGCAAAAGGAGCTCCAGTACTTCAGTCTTAAGCAGCTGATGCTATAAAAACAGTTTTTGAAAGTCAATATATTAAAGAGAGAAAGAATTTGCTGTATGACATTATAGTGGCAGCAGCTGCAATTCACTGTGATTTGATCATGCCCTGCTATAGAAAGATCTTACCTGCACTCTCATCCCTGGCTTCCACATTAGCAGCAAGGCTGACATTGCTCATAATAGGATGGATACTGTTGAACTGAGACCTCTTCAATACATGCTCCTACTGCAGTAGCTTATGCCTTCATTGTACCCTTGTAACTTTCTAATCCATGCAGTCTTTATTTCCCTGAGTGCTGGCAATGCAGATATCTAGTGGGAGGAGAGCAATCTGTTCATCCTCTCTTGCAACACTTAAGCAGAGGGTGCAAAAGGATCAAAGCATTATTTGTGCCGGGCAGGGAAACCTTGTCTGCTTCACTTTATATATTTGTACAGCATTGGCTGTGTTTTAAAACTTAAAACAAGATGTTTTTCAGAAATCAGGAGATTAGATAAGCTAAGAGACATAACAGTAGCTATCCGGTGAAAACAAATTAGCCAGTCCACAAATTTTCTTAGCATGCTAAGAAAATATACAGCTCAAGTCAACCCTTCCGCCAGTCACTGAAAAGGCAGAAATGAACATTCAGAGGTTTTGGGTAAGAACTACTCAAAATAATGAAGCTATTATCCCTCACAAAGTATTATGAAGTTTTATCCCTCACAAATTCTTCAACATTTCCTCTATCAACATTTTTAAATATTCTTATGCTTTCTGAGGTTTAATGTGAACAGTGTATCTAGGGCACACTCTGAAGCCATAACTCACAGTTGATCTGTTTGAGACCCATAATGTTATATTCTCATATGGTGAACATATGGCTGAAGGTTAAAAGGGATGAGGAGAAAGGCATGAGTTACCAAGTTCAATTCATGGTGAATCTGCAGTGGTGTTAGCCTGCGAAGAAGTTTCAGATCATGAGACATGAAGAAGGATTAAAAGGGGTTAATTTCAGAAATTGTGCAAATATATCTCTGGATTGTAGGAGTTTTTTTCCAGCCTAACTCAGTTGCCAGGCTGAGAATTTTTTATTACTGACACAGAAAGAAATACCCAGCATTTGGTAGGAAGAGAGAGATAAGTTAAGAGCATTACAGAGACGGTGCCATATTAACGCAGAGTTAAAAACCTCTCTACTTCAGGAAAATTTCCTGAAACGTTCCTGTAGCATCTTCTTGGACAGTTACCTCCTGCTGCTTCTAATAATAATGGATGCATATGGACAAGCATAATTGCTATCCCCTTTATAATTCCTGCATGAGTATTTTAGCAAGACAGTCTGCCTCCAGAAATCACAGTTCCACAGTGAGTGGGTCCCCTCAAACTTCTGCAGAATGTTTAAATTTAGCATCATACTTTGGCTTTTAGAACTAAATGTACTAAATTGACTAGAGTTTGTTTCCACAGTCAAAGACTGGCAGAGGTTTGATGGGACCTCAGGGTCCATCTGGCCCAATTCATGCCCCAGCATGGACACCCAGAGCAGCGTGCCCAGGGCCATGGCCATGTGGTTTTTGAAGATCATCAAGGAGACCTCACAGCCTATCAGCAGCCTGTGCCACTGCTTCATCACCCACACAACACAGAAGTGCTTCCTCATGTCTAGATGGAACTTCCTGTGTTCCCACTTGTGCCCACGGCATCCTGTCCTGGCACTCAGCAGCTATGAGAAGAGCCTGGCTCCGTCCTCTTTGCATCCATCCCTCGGGTACTGTAGACACTGATGAGATCCCACCATGTATTTTCTTCTCTAGATTAGACATTTCTGCACATCAGTGTCCCCCCCATGATGTCTTCTCCCACATTTCCCCAATATTTAAGAACTCTGAACATGCACTACCAATCCTATCTGACTTCAGGGATAAAAGAGACGAGGCTGCCATGCAGAATAGGCAATTGAATGGCACTCTCTTGATGAAGTGAAAGCTTTGCTACCCAGGAGAGTGGGCAAAAAATATTCTGTCCTTCATCTCAAACACCTGCACCATCACAAGAACAGATCCCACTTTCCAGTAGTCAACATCCCAATTCAGTATTGAGTGAAACAATGCTAGAGGATACTGTTGGCAACCAAATTTGTCAAAATGCCTTAAGAGTTTCCTCTGCCTAATTCAGGCTCTTGCATTTGACAAACAAACTTAGGATCATAGGTTTGAACCTAGTTCCCTGCTGTCAAATACAATGCAGTACGTTAGACCTGGTGAAATTCTATGTCTTGTTCACAGGCATATCCATCACAGTCCAGAATATTTCACTTTGACTAGCTTGTTTTGCCTTTTAAAGTTTCATGATTATTAATTATTTTTTCCTGTCATAAAAATTGAATCAATTGCTGATTTCTTGCTTAAATGTTCTGTTATCTATATATCTTAAAGCAATCAATCAAACAAAAATCCAGGCGTAAACTATCATTATCATTCATTAGCCTGGTGACTAACAAAGAAATCTGTGAGCTTTGACACCCCGTTAATGACAGATTACTACTTACATTCCTGTCCTTTATAACATTACAGAGTCAAATCAGAATATGGAGACCTGTTATTAACTCTGCAAAAATAATTCTTTTCACTTTGGAGTGCTTGATCCAAATTCAATCTGTGAGGTTTTTTTTTTTGACATCTGTAAATTTCTTGCCATTACTGTTTCTTGCACATTCAGACCCCTAACTGGAGTTTTTATGGTACCTCAGTGAACTGAACCGCTTCCTGTAAGGCCCTTCTCATTGGTACTCAGACTTCTTTCTACTTCCACGTCCAAACTCAAAGAAAAGAAGGCACATTAGGTCTTTGTTGTTAACTGATGACCTCATTCACAATCTAGAAAAAACTCTGTGATTTGGTGGGGGCAGAGGCAGCCCTGCTCTCCCCACATAGCCAGCACAGTCTGCAGCAATGGAGCTGAAAACAGCCCACGGTTTGGCAAGTCAGTGTAGGAGCACAGGAAGAACCAGCTCTGTGAGACTCAGGATGCTTTATTTTTTTTCTTCCTTTTCTGCATTTATATATTTTGTAACAACTTCTAACTTCTGTATTACTTATTTCTACCTGTATTTCTCAACCATACACTTCAAAGTCTGCATGTGCATATATTGCATGAACTTCAGAACCAACAAAATATAAGGTGAACAATGTGATGACTTTATTGCTGAAGTTCTTCCTACACCTGCCCACCTACGTTATGTACTGCTATTGCTAGCTGCTTCTGTCACTTCCTAGCAGTGACCT